TGGAGTCAGGCAAGAAACCAGTGGTATTTTAATAATTGCCTACTAGACTTCCTGTGGACATGATTATATGTCCACAGGAAGTCTACTTTTGGGTGCCTGCCACTTTAAGGGCTGGAGCAGGCAACCAGCAGGTGCTTGATTAGGGCGGCCATTTTAAAAGTAAGATCAGCCAGGCAGAGCCGGCAGAGTGTTGCTTGCAGCCGAGAGACGCATCACCCGGCTGAGCTGAGGCTCACAGCATCCTGGAGGTAAGGGCAGGAGCTATGGGGGATGGTTTGGAGGCTCCTGGTCCTGGGCATGACCTAAAACTTGACCCTGTTGGGGATGGATGGCCTGGTGGGGCTCCTGGTGGCCTGGGAGCCCCCAGCAAATGCTAGGCCAGTTACCACCCCGGTGAAAGGCAGGTCAGGGTGTCTTAACAGCCCCTCCCCCCCCCATCTTGGGTGGGTTACATCTAGCAAGTGGGGCCAGGCACAGCTGAAGCTACCTGAGCCCACAGGGGATTGTGACCCCAGAGGCCCCAGGAAGGGACAGAAGTGTAGCCCCAGAGAGGGGGCCCTAGCATGGCCCCAGAGAGAAGACAGGTTTATAGCCCTAGGGAAGAGGACAGAGTTGTGTAGGCCTGAAGGGCTGTGCACAGGGGGGGACTGAACAGGGAAGTAGGCCTGAAGGACTACTTCACAGTTAGGGCGGCTAGGAGCTGGAACCAACTTCCAAGGGAGGTGGTGCTGGCCCCTACCCTGGGGATCTTTAAGAAGAGGCTGGATACTTACCTGGCTGGACTCATTTGAGTCCCGTTTTTGTTTTTAGGGTGTGTGTTGTTGGGGTTTTTTTTTTTTTTTGGTTGTTCTCCCGCCCTGGCGGGGGGTCGGGCTAGAAGATCTATTAGGTCGCTTCTGACCCTGAAACTATGAAACTATGACAGTCCCAGGCAGAGCCAACCAGGGCAAATCAGCTTGTGTGGGGCCCCACCCCAATCCCGCATGCCCTGGTTGTGAAGAAGCCTCTGCCATCAGTGGCGGCAGCACTTGGAGGTGGGGGGGCGGTACCAAATGGCCGGATGCAAAGCCGGTGGCAGTGGTGCAGTAGCCATGGCCACTCCGCCTGGCTCTGTGTGGGAACCGAGGCCATCACCCCAATTCACCCCCCCCCCCCTAGGGACGGCCCTGGTCCCAGGGGTATGTTGAATAGGGCCAAACTGGGAGTAAGCCTGAAGGACACCACAAGGGCCAGACCCATGAGTACTTCCTTGCGAGAATGATGAGAAGACCCTAGAATGGGGTATGGTGTAGAGGCCCCAGAGTGGGCATAGTAGGAACCCATGTTGGGACAGAGGCCAAAGTATGTCCATGGATGCCTGAGGCCATAGTTTGGGCCAGAGGCTGAGTGGGAGGGGGGAAGGGGGGGGCTCAGCTAAAGAGTTAGGGACAAGTCCTGACACCGGTAAGTCCTCCACTACTAGAAGGCCGAGTGTGGGTCAAAAGTAAGACCTAAACATTGAGCATAATGACCTGCTGCTCCAGGGAGGGAGTGAGAATCCCTATGAGACCCTGGAGCACCAGCCGTAGTGTCAGTTACGAACATCGTGGCTGTCCTCTGCGAGGCACGGGCCACCGTATTGGGAAGGTTCAGAGCGGTGGATAGTGCCCCCTGGCATCAGGGCCTGTAATGGGTAGTCTCCCACATTTACCACCAGTAAAACATTACAGCAAAGTCATGGCAGGCAAGATTAGGCAGACTGCCCCATAGAGGCAGGTGGGCAGGCTGACTGGAGATATGGCCCCAAGCGTGCCCCCTGTCACAGGGTTGTTAAAAAGCTAATGTCCAATCTGTGCTAATACTCATTGTTGCCGTCAACAGTGGGAGATTTTGAAGGAGTCTAGGTGTAGACAAGATTTGATGTTGAGAGAATGGCAAAATTTTTATTACTTAGCTTGATGGAAGTCAGTCTTCTGGGAGGCATGCCACAAATTAGCCCCACGTCATCTCCAAGTGCTACTCTGATCCCCTTCCTGCTTCGTGCCCCACACAGAAGCTGCCCATGCCACAGGTTGGCCACCCCTGACCTAGCTTATTAAGAGGTAAGCTTTATGCTTGCCTATTCTAATTCTAACTTTGTACAAGTCAGAGTCAAGTGATTATTGGCTAATACATATAGGTTTGTAGGAAACTAACTACCATGCTGGAAGTTCAGTTAAAGCTTATTGTCTGTTTCATTGTATTTTATATTATGAAATATGAGCTGATTTGCACTGAGTGGTCAATGTGTTTTTTGTGTTGTTTTGGGGGTGGTTTTGTCTTTTTTAACTTGAGCATTCTGGAGAGCTATAGCAGCACTGCTTTTCCTGTTTGAACTCTAGAAAACGTCCATCTCTTGGTAACTTTAAGTATTTTCACACGCTCATTAGCCAACTTGGGATAGAAACTTAACATTTAAAGATTGGCTCTGCATTTGAAGCACTCAGAAATTGAAGTGTGTTTCATTCTGATGATTTGATTTTTTTAAACCCACGTTTAGTTCTGTGAATCTTATTTATCTTCTGCATACAGCCTCTCCCAAAGCCTGACTGACTTGGGCAGATATGGGAGGAGGTAATTCTAAATATGGAATTTTTAATATCCTGGGTTTAAAATTGTATGGCTTTGGGGTGAGTCCTAGACTTGAACGCAGTTGCTGGCAAAGTGAGATGCTTTTTATGTCAACGTTATCTTATAGAATCCTCCTTTGACCAAAATATTGGCTGGAGAATTATATTTTTGAGCATACTTTAAATTGTCAGTAGCTGTTGGCTTTTGTGGTTTGAGTAACATTCACAGTGAAATCACTGCCGTTTGGTAGGCTGAATATTCCAAATGCTATATTTTTTAAGTTGTGTAATATACTTGTAGTGCTTCATTGAATATTTTTGCCATAAACAGATTCTGAATATCCCAAAGATCAGTAGAACTTACCATTCATATAGACTAGGAGTCTGACTTGCTCAGTCTTGCAAATTGGAAAGGATACAGGCATTTCACGATATACTGTATTCATTTGACAGCTGTAATTTAATTTTAATTCTATTTTGTATTACATAAAATCATTTCTACTATTCTATGACGCACTTATGAAAAGTCATCAACTTAATAATTGATCTATAGCACCTGGTTCTTAAATATTTCTCATGTCTAGGGTAGGAACAATGAGCAGTGCTGTCAAACTCGTACATCATTTTATTTTGGAAGCAAAATAAACAAGCAGGAAATATCTAATTGCCTTGAATCAGTTTTTTAGCATACATGTCATTAATATTGGCTTTGATTGCTGTTCTAAATGCATCTTGGTATATATTAATTAAAATAACGTGTAAGCTTTTGTTTACCAGATTTGAGTGGCACAATCGATCATTCCACAGACAGGTGTTCCATGACTAATAGATCTTAATGGCAGAAAAGCTCCCACAGGATAATGATTTTCCATTCCTCAAATTACAAGATGTAAACAGAGCAAATGCCAGATGATCCTAATGCCCTTCTCCGCCAAAAGAAGGCAGTGTTGAGCCTGGTTTTTTTTGCCATCTGCTATTGCACTTATTTTCATTGGTGATAGTTCAAAACAAAGCCTGTATCAGTAGCCCCAGCATTTTGCTAGCCTATGCGCATCAATACTGTATTCAACTGCATATTTTGCAGTTCTCCTGTATATTCTGTCAACCTCAGTACTAACCTTTTAATTTCCTTTTGGTTATGAGAAACATTGGAGGGTCTTTTGGGTAATGCATTGTCTGTGAGTGGGGACTTAGTGAATTTGCAATTTTGCTGATTCTGCAAAATCTGGCATTGCCGGCAAAATCTAGGCAATGCCCACGAAATTTGCAGAGGGGAAAAAAAATCTTATGGAAAAACTTATGAAAAAATGATGGCTTCTCAGAAGGAGCCAGCAGTACTCACACTGGCAGCCCACCTGGGCAGAAAAGAGGGTTGGAGGACTGCTTTCTCAAAGGGTTGCCAACAAACTGGCTGCCAGGGGCAGGGCCTCATTTGATAGGCAGTCCTTGCAGCCAGTCAGAGGCGTGGTGGGGAGGGGGCTGCTGCACCCTGCCTATGAAATGGCTGCTGGGCCCTGTGTTCTGCCCATGAAATCAGCAAACAGCTACTGCGAGTTAGGTCCCTATTTACGCTATGCGAGGCTTCGGTCACCAATTCGATTTGGAGGAGATTCGGCCCAGTTTTGGCAGCCAGATCTCCGAGTCTGAATCAAATTGGGAGACCCGTTAAAAAGTCCAAATTGAATCCGAAACCTCTGAATCGATTTGGTGACCAAAGTGTGCCCTCCCCCCCCAGCTTGGCACCCACCCAGCAGCTGCCCCATGGCATGGTTGCAGTACGGCTCAGCAAGTTGCCTCACACTGTCTGGGAGCTGGGGATGAGTGCTGGCAGCCTCCAGGTGACTGCTGGAGCCACCCCCATCCAGACAGTCCGTGACACCCTGCCGAACCACACTGCACCCACGCGATGCCACAGCTGCGATCCTCACTGCCCCACACGGCACGGGGTGGCTCTGCCATGAGCCCTCAGGCCCTGATCTCTGTTGCTGCAGCCGGTGAGTGCAGGGCTTTAAAAAAAAAAAAAAAAAAAAAAAAAAAAAAAAAAAAAAAGCAGCAGCCAGGAGGCTGGGGTTGGGTGGGGAATGGAGCTGGACAGGGCAGCCATGGGGGTTTCTCTCCCCGGCCGATCTGAATCGTCGCCGAATCTCTGATTCTGATTCAGCCGAATAGAATGGGGACAGTGATTCAAATTACCGAATCGAATTGCTGTCCTCCGAATCGTCTGAATCCGAATTGATTACTTCCCTATTTGCACAAGCCTAGTCCCTATCCTGAGAGTCCAGTGTTGAGGACCACTGGCCCAAATAGAAGTGCTTTAAAATTCAGAGTCCATTTTGGAAGTGGTTGCCATTCACAGGGTTAAACTGTACATCCTTACTCTAGTTTGATGCTGAATATACAGATTTTTCAGGATAAAGTAAAGCCCTTACTGTTTTAGATTGTTCCATTAGTGCCTGTTGGCTACAATGTTGCACATTCTGATTTTCTTAAACTACATCCTTATTGGGCACAGGTGAATAAGTCAGCTGATTCTTTACAGCTACACTGACACCAGTTCAGCTGAGATGCTTACTCCATTTGGTAACACTCTTACTATGCCAACCATAATTGCAGTGCACTGTCACTTTTAAAGCAGATCTCCACTGATTTCTGGAAAAAGTGTTTTTGGAGGATGACTTTTTTGTTTGTTTACTGTCACACTTCTTTGCTTACCACCCTCTTTCCTCACACTTCTATTGTTGGGATTATTAGGTTTGACAAAAGGTAGTGATGTAGAAGACAACTTGGCTTCTTATAATCTCAACTCTGAACATTTAACATTGAAAGAAGATGTTCACGTAGGCCTGTTTAGCAGTGGAAAGTCTGCCAAGCTCGGCCCAAATGGGGATGCTTCCTCTAAGTAGGAACATGCAGTGCTACCTCAGCTACTAGAGGGAACCCCTATCTTTATTCTTAAACCACTAGGAATTTAAAGTACCAGGACAAAATAAAACATGAAAAATTGAGCTAAGAAAAATATATTAAACCTGATTATTGAGAAAAGATTGAAATAACCTCTGGCCACGAAATGTAGTGCATGCTTCAGTTTCTTTTGGGACTTTCAGTATTTCCTGAAAGAATAGTTTGTTTTTGCTAACCTAATTTGTCTGCTTTTTTCAGTTTCCAGCTGCCTGGTTGACTATGTTTGATGCAGTGCTCATTCTGATTCTAATACCTGTAAAGGATAAATTGGTAGACCCTGTTCTGAAGAGGCATGGTTTACTCCCATCATCCTTGAAGAGGATTGCAGTTGGAATGTTCTTTGTGATGTGTTCGGCATTTGCAGCTGGTAAGGAAGCAATTTAGGCATACATTTGTCCAATCGCTTCTGCAGGGAAGCCTGCTGTGAGTACCTCCTGTGGCTTCCAGGATCTTGATGGGTGCTCAGGAGGCCCCTGCTCAAAGTAGTTTGGATGCAGCTATGATGCATACCATCCTTTATTGTTGCTTATCATAAGGTGTACACAGCTACTTCCATTTCAGTGCTACTTGTGCCTGAAACAAAGTTTTTTACATGGTGGCAGTTTAAGTAATGACTTCCAGGACAGAAGATGCTTATTCTCCAATAAGTGACTATTAATGTTCAAGTCAAGCATGCTGTAGTAACAAAAGAGTTACTTGTATAATCTCTGATACCGCCTCTGTGAAGGCCTTAGTCTGTACTATTTTACTGCTTGAAGAAAGCGTTCCATCTGAGTTTGAAGCTTCAAATCAATAAAATAAATATGAAATCTGCTATAGTCTTAAGTATTATGGAAACCATAAAGAAATGTCACCTGACCTTAATACTCATTAAAGTCAAAATTTAAGCATAGGCACGCTAGGATGCCTACATCAAATCAGCATTTGTCTCTGTCCGTCAGATTTCAAAATATCGAATACACTGAAATGCTGTTTAAAACGGTTTGCCTTCAGTTGAAGTAATAAAGTTGGCTTATTGCTGAGCAAGACTTTTCTCCTACTTTGGCTTTTTTTTTTTCCCCCTCTGCCTTAATGTTCCCTAATGTTTGGAAATTATTGTAGTGTAAAATAGCTTAGCTGTAGCATGAAGGGAAAAAGATGGCATCTCTGTTAAAATCATAAATCATCTGCTTTTGAGAATGATTTAAAGTTGTTAAGCACTGCTGATGTGGAACTGAACATCTCTGAGCAATGCTTCATAGAACCTATAGCCTTCACCTAGTATCCGTATAATGAACATATTGATAAAGCATTATAGCGTTAAATAAATTAATCTTAGCACTTGTAATCTCCTATATTTTAGAGAGGGGGACACTTTATAGGGCTATTAAGGTTTCTCTCAATGAGAGAAGTAATTACCTTATTAGGCCAAGGTCATTTTTATATGCGGGCAAGTAAAGTTCTGTCTGCAAAGTCATTTAAACTTAAATGACTCAAAATACAGATTATTTCTTTTATTCCAAATGTTCCCCTCTGCCAGTAGGGGGCAACGGTGACAAAAATGTTGCTCCTCAGTCTCAGGAATAGAACTTATCAGAATTTTTAACCGATTTCAAAATGCTTTTCTTTCTTTACTAGTTGGTCTATATACTGTTTTTGAACTATAATTATGTTGCAGAATGGTCCAGTGTAGCAGAACTGAACTTTTTCAGATGAGCTCTGGTACTCATTTCTGTCCCAGGTGTTTGATAATCTATAAATCCCACCTTTCTTTTTCTTTCTCCAGCAGAAGTTCAGTTTCAGTTTTGGAGCTAAAATAATGACAGTTATTATTGTAGAGGGAGAAGCTCCCAACTGGCCTGAATGAGTGATGATGTTTTTATCATGTTATCTTATAAAAACTAATTCGACTCCTAAGCTGTGTCATAGCCACCCGAGCACCTATTAACGACAAATCTTGATGAAACTATGGAGCAGTACGAAGACACTGATAACTTAAATTTACCGTCCTAGAAGTAACTTAATGATTTGTTTGCTTTATTTCCATTTTGGCATGCTTGTCTAACTTGCAGTAGTTTAATACTATTTAGGCTGCTTGTTATATTGTTTAGATTATTTTAAATATCTTATAAATTGGGTGAGAATACAACCTATTAGATTTAATGAACATCTGCCGTGCTTCATGCATTTTATCGTAAATTCTGAGTAGCAGTATTTAAGGTTATTCAACTGGAAAATCAACTTCATTTATAGGTTTTAAACAATTACAGCAAGAACTTAATCTTTAGAGTTTTAATAGTTACAAAAATCTTAAACTTGAAGGCTTACACTTTCAAAAATGGCCGAGCAAAGAATGATAGACACCGGCTTATAAAATATTCAGACAAATTTAAGCAAAGATAGTTTGAATCAGAAGCTTCAGAAACAGGAGTACCTTCTTGGTGGCTAAGTGTCTGCTAAAGTTGCTTATAGCTTGAAGAATATAGCATAGTCATACCATATGTCTTTGAAGCAAAGTTATTTCACGCTATTGTATATATGAGAATGAAATTTCAGCCAAGGCCTTAACTGATTATGCAGCATAGTGTTTAAAAACATTCTAAAACTTCAGTGAGAAGCTAAATTATGAGCTCTTGAATTGCCATATTTAAAAAAAGATAAAAGTTTTAAGTTCATTACATTTTTGCAGCTAAGTATGTAGCATGATGCATTGAAACATCCTTGGATAGTTGGTGAAAAATACCTAAAATTACAATAGGCAAATGTGCAGCTAAAAAAAGAAGTGGGGGATATCTTGAAGAGATGATACTTTTGGCACTAGTGATACTGCGATCACAACAATTCCTACTCTGAGAATCAAAACATTGTGTGTTTTATGCTTTTTGAAAGTGGCAACATCTTAACTGCCCCTTTGAACACATTTTAGCAGCAAGAGTGCTGGAGGAGTTTCAGGAGTAATATGTTGATTTTTCTGCACTTGCCTTTTAAGTGAGTTTCTTTACTGGAATTGAGCTACCAAGAATGAATAAACTTGTGAGATAATACAGGAGTTGTAGAAATCAGGGGTCCAGAACTGCAGCAATCAGTTCTGTCGCCACATCCCCACAGCCAAATTTCTGGACTGGTGGAGAGCCCCATGGGCCGGACGACATGGCCCCATTGGCCAGATCATACCAGCGCAGAGTCACCCTGCACCAGATCTGGTACACAAGTTTGGCTAATTCATGGAATCATGCTACAGTTTCTGGTGTGCGGACTTGCATCAGCATTTAGGATTGTATCCACAAACTGACCCTATGTGTTAAACTTATGCTGGATCAGGCCTGCAGACCCCACTACACATGGGATCTGGACTAGGCCACAGGACCACAGTTTGAGCACCACAGGTCTATCTAGTTTACCTAATTTGGCATTTGGTGTTTTTGGGCATGTGCGATTGGCAGTATATATAGCAATAATCTACTTATCTTGTAATGGAAACTAGAATTGGAGAAATTGGCTACCAGAGTTTAATCGTTTTTGCTTACCCTCTGTATAGATGATGTCGTAGATATTCCATGCAACATGGATGACTGTTTTTTATTAGGATTATACATCACACCAAGTATCAAGTCCATTTTTGATCCTCTTAAGACTGAAGCTGGCTGACCCTGATAAGCACTAGGGTGGGAAGCCTATATATGTACTACATGGAAGTGGCTTAATGATTTAGAAGGTGCAGTTCTTCCTGTTGGATCAGTAATGAGCTATTATACCAAGTTGTTGGACTGTGGGGTTCCAATACTGAAGGTGACTTCTTCAGGGTTAAGCATGAAGTAGAAGTTTTGGTCACTCACGGTAATTAGATGTTATGCATCCTTCATAATAGTAGGCCTAAATTCAGTGTGCACACTGCTTACCAAAATTCCCTTGCAGTTGCAGCTGAATGAGATTCATATCCTGCTCTAAATTGTCCTATTGCGCTGAGCACTGTTGAACAGTTTGCTTTATTTCACAGTTAAGTGTCTGTATTTCATTGTTTTGTAAAGTGATTTCTATGTATGATACAGCTTTTAAATCAAGGTGTGATGAACTTTTTGGTTGAAAGGTGCTAAATAAACATAAGTCATGATCATATTTATAGTAGTTTATTGGTAAAAGGTGTTAATGTTGCACAAGTGATCATTTTGGTAAGTAAAATGCTTCCTGATTTACTACCTTCATGCTTGTAGATGCAATAATTCAACTCTGCAGAGAAATGGCAACAATGAGACTGCTTTAAAAAAAAAAAGTTTGTATGAGAATATTTGAAGTAATGCATGTGAAACAGTAAGGATATGTGTAATCATAGCTGATAAATAAAAATAGAATCTCTTAAGTTATGGGAAAAGAACTGTATTTCCTGAAACAGTTGTAAAAGTAGAATATGCTGTGTTTTATGTGAGAATATCAGGAAATACATTTTCCTTAATAGTCTGTAAGCTTTTATTGCATAATTGCCAGGTAGCAACTGGGTCCTATATACTTCGAAATGTGAACAAACAGTTTTTGCATTTGGGAACAATCCTTTTCCTGTTTGCCTCCTAGGAATTCTAGAAAGCTACAGGCTTAAAATGGTAAAGGTTAAGACAATTAATCAGACTATCGGAAATGTTACATATCATGCTGCTGATTTGCCTGTGTGGTGGCAGGTTCCTCAATATGTGCTGATTGGCTTCAGTGAAATATTTGCAAGTATAGCAGGTAAGATTTTTTTTTTTTTTTTTAGTCTTCCTCTTCACATACCTTTTGTCTGGCCATTTAGTTTTGAAATACTTTACAACTAGAACATAATAAATATTTTCAAGGGAAAGAATTCAATTATCATAGGGTATGTGGGTTCCAACCATAACAGATTGCATGTAATTGTTTGGACATTTACTATTTATATTCGCAAAATAGTTAAAAATCAGTATTTCAATAGGGTGTGAGCATATATTAAAAACCATAGAGGGACAATAAGATTTAAATAAATATCAACAGCATCAGGAAATAAAAAGTATGCCTCTGGTGCAATTTGTTAATAGCCTTCATTTTTTATTTAAAAAAAACAAACCTGATAAGATGCTTGAGGAAAATTTGGATTTTTTAAAGAATATGGCATAAATTGTTAGAAAAAATGTTTAGAATCCACAATCAAGATCTCTGGAAGGAAAGGAAAGAACAAGTGTATCCCAGTAAAGAGAGCAGTTTTTTTAACTCTTTTCCAGTAAACTCCTAAATGCAGTTGTCCTCCTTGCTACTCTTCTCTTTTTAAAGAGAGGCAGAGAGGAATATGACATGAATGAGTAGCAGCAGCTGAAATTCAGAACAATCTGGAGCTTAGTATGATCCCAACCAGTGAATGGCCACATTTGAAGCTTGAGCATTAACCTGCTTGCACAGACCTGTGAGTGCATGCTCAGAATCTTGTTGAATATTTTTATTGTAATCATTAGTGGGTAATTAAAAACAAAACAACTGCCCCTGTTTTCCTCCTCCTTCCTCCTCCTCTACTCAATGGTAGGGCCTTATTCTGTACTTTTTCTGTAGGAGAAACTTCCAGCTGAGGATATTTTTTTATTTGTTTATTTTTTTGCTACTGTTGTGAGATTTCTGCTTAGAGCTAAACATAAAATGTTAAATTAATAACTGGCTGTTAATTTAACTTTTTCCCTTCAAATACCTGTACAACTGAGATAAAATATAGTTCTTCTGCTTAACCACTCCCTTATGATAAGATTTCCTGCATTGTTTTCTGCATATTAAGCTACTTTCCCCCCCTTCCCATCTTGAACAAATCAATGGACTAGATCTGCAGCTTGGTCCTTGAAACAGGGCAGTCCCATACCTTGTTTGTTTCCATGAAGAGCTTAGTCCATCAGTCTTCCATATCCATCTGTCCTGCTTTCATGTTACTGCTGCTAAGACCTCCTGAGAGGGTGGGTCTGGGTTTTGGTGCAGAAAAGAGTGGGGGGGAAATGCACTCTGAAATGCTGTGAAACAGCGTTATGCAATTGCCTTACTGGGCAATAAACATACAGTCTCTGGTCATCTTTTACAGTTCAAAAGTTCATGAAACTGTCCCACAGCATGTACAGATCCACCATGTTCAAATATTAGAGTTACTGCATCAGAGGCCACTTTGGCAGTCAGCAGATTCCTACCGTTGCCTACTTGGTACTGCTCCATTTTCACAACTCTCAGCTCCCTCGAGCACGTGTTGCCATGTTAAGCTTTCTACCTACAAGTTGGTTACTTTCAACTCATTTTGCCAACTGCAACTTTCTCCTTAACTTCCATGACATAATTTTTTCCCACTGTTTTCATGTTTGACTACAAATTTGTTTAACTTAAGAATTTAATAAGGGGTCCTCCTCAGATGATGCAGGTATTCCTTTACTGTTTTTTTCCCTTATTAGTAGATCAAAACTACTCATCTAGTCTGGGACTGTGTTGGGCTAGAGCAGTGATTCTCAAACTGGGTTCCATGCCACCCTTGCTTGCACTGAGATCCTTTTGAGGGTGCCATGTAGTGTGTTCAGTTTGCAGACATGATTCAGAAGATTAAGCCCAGAGATTTTCAAACGGGAATCCATAGTGTTAAAAACATTCTGACCTCTTGTGGTCTTTCTGGGTTCTTTGCAACAGATTTGCTCTTTTTATTTTTTTCTGTAGTCAAAAGACAAGTGAAAACTAAGAACTTGCACTTTCCAAGGGGAGCCTTGAGACTACAGAGGTTGAGAACCACTTGGCTGGAGGAAAACAAGTTTAGTACAAAGCCGAGTTGTCAGGTGGTTAAAGCACCAGCTAACAGACCTGGCCTTGTCACAGTAAATGTATAGGACAAGGCTTAATGGCTTAACCTCCCTCTAACTAATTGTATAATTGGGATAGTTCCTTTAATTCAGAAGGGTGCGAGACTTATGACAAACTTCCTTTTAAGAGCCCTAGTGGGGTAGTGCAGTATAGTTCCCTGCCCAATCTGCTGCTCTGCTTTCTGCTTCTTGCCCTCTTGCTCTGTGTTGCCTGCCTTCTCCCCAACTGCTCTGCACCAAGCAGACACAGAAGCTGCCCATGGCACTTGTACCACAGGTTGACCACCCTGTGTTAGTACATACCTAGTACTCTAATGGCAGCTTCTAACTCTTCTGAATCACCCACTGGAATTCATACATTTAGAAAGCTTCTTTAGTTGTAAAGGTTTAAGTCTTAAGTTTTACTGTCTTTCACAGACAGAAAGTAGCGTGTAAAGCAGTAGTTGCTTAGCAACTTTTTAGGGGTCAAGTGAACTAAATCTGAATTTTGATTCACAGGTGACTTGCAGGAAACATCTGTGTTCTTTTCAAAGAACGTGCTCTGTTCCTTGTACGCATTTTCCTTTCTCCTTTTTGGCCAGAACTATTGGCATTATAATTTTTCAAGAAAAAACTAGCAAATGCATAGTTTGTCAAAGAGTTGGTACTTTTAAAAAATAAGGCCATGCATCCTGCTTATGCTAGGCCCTTAAGTTTCCTTATGCGAGTACACTGTGAGTCTTTTGCACTTGCTGCAGCTGCAACAGCTTTTCAGCTTCAAAAACTGTTTGTTGGCCAAGTGTTAGGGGGAAATGTGAAAAATCCTGTTTGAATTGGTATTCTCTACGGACCTTAATTACTTTATATATTACCCTTTCATTCTGTTTAACAAAGCTTTATTTCAATTTTTTCAATGTTTTATCTAATTAAATAACTAATAACGGTAAGAAGGCACCTCAGGATTGAGCGGTGTGTGTATATACTCTAGAAACGTGATATTTGAATTGGATGGGAGCATTCCTTGTACTCTGGGATTCAGTTTGAAAAGGTAAAGGAAATGGTTACAAAGCTGCAGTGGCTTGAAAGCATTTTTTTTGTGAAAGAACTAAATATCTTAAGAACTGAAACATAAGTTTGTTTTTGTTTACGGTACAGCTGAGCATACTTTTATTAAATCACATTAGTTTCACTTGAGGTACCTTTAAAAAGATGACACACATTGCATTAATCTTTTGTATTATTCCCTGCAATCCTCTTAAAGAACCCTTATTTAGCTGGGAATCATAATCTCACATGACAACACCAACTAGAGGGTTTAATTTCAAAACTGCTTGTTTGAGGTAGCATGAAATTGTTATCAATGGCTGCCAGCAGGCAAGAATTTCTCTGAAGGCAAAGAAAAGATTTTGTTTTCTTTATGCCAGATTAAATATTAGAGCTACTAGGTACATTATTCAGGTTCAGAAGCATGAATCATTTTGTGGCAGAGAAGGGTAGCAATGTGTACCCATTTTGGTTTTTTCCAGAGGTAACATTTAAGTCCAATATTCTTATGAAAGGAACTGGTTTAAAAAAAAAAAATCAGCCAGGGTTTCTTTTAGGCGGCATACAGCCATTCACTTCTATTGTTAAGATTTTTTGGAGAAAAATCTCACTCTTGGAAAAATAGCCCAGGAGCTGGAGTATAACGTGTTTTATAGCTCTTGGCTGGGCAGTTCTCCAGCCAGGGGACACATGAAGCCACCCCACCCTTAAGGAAGCCCCTTACTTGACAACCTGTTCTCTCTCTTGCCTGGGAAAGGGGCCGGCTGTAAATAGGCAATCCGCCCACTCCCCCCCCCCCCCGCCCCCCCCCCCCCCCCCCCAACTCTCCCTCTGGTTTTAAATCATCTTGTTTGCAGCCCAGATGAGTTGCATGTAGGGTGACTTGAAGGTAGATGCACAGTGAGGCAGGGGCTGGGAACAGCTACCCTAGTCCTGGGGTCCCTACTCTGTAGCTTCTAAATTGCTGAGTGTGCCACACAGCTGATCCATGAAACTTGGGCACTGGTAGCTTCCCTAAGCCTGGTTCCTGATCCCTCTCCCTTTCTAGTCTACAGGAGAGGCAGGAGGAGCTTCCCCCTGCACCTTCTAAAGACTGGGGTGACTCCAGCCTCCAGAAGGCACCGAAGGCTTTCCTTTAGCTCTGCTCAAGGAGGAGTTGAGCTTTGGGGAAGTGTACAAGCGTTCACTCTCCTGGGAGAAACTTGCCCCAGGAGCCAGTTCTGCCTGAATTGCAGTTGGGTTATTTGTTTTTTCCCCAGAACAGCCATTTTTGGTCGGGGAGAAACATTATAAACACTTGTTTCTACCAGGAGAACGGAGCCTTACCCTGTGAATTTCAGTTTAAACTGTGCAACTCATACCATTGCTAGTCACTTGACAGTCTCTGCTACTTTGGCAGCTTGACAGCTCCAGTCATTTAACGAACAGCTATGTGATTAGGGTAGTCTAATGCAAACAACTGGCTGTATATTATTAGTGTCTGGCTGAATGGTTCTTTTTATGGGACAATTACTAATTGCAATTAGTGGCCCAATGGCTAAGTTTCTAGCATTTTTTCCCTCTTAGCCCCTTTTCTAAGTGTATTTCCTACAGTAAATTAAAGGGTTTTTTTTCCTCATGCATGTGACTTGTAACTTAGCTGGTAGTCTCATTCTTTTTTTTTTTTAAGTGCATTGGAGCCCCTATTTGGACTTCTGGATAGGGTTCTTCAAACTCTTCTTCAATCACAGAGAGGTTACTCTTGTCCCACTTAAAATGCATTTAGTTTTAAGTAAGAGAGAAATGTGATTCTAGTTCTCTCTGACCTGGCTGGTTGACCCACATGCCTTGAAGCCTGACTTCTTTCCGTAAAGGGAAAAGTCATTTGTGTACAAGGCAAATATTCCTTCATGTGGATTTTTTCATGGAGTTAGTCTCCCTACTTCAATTTACCATGATGCCTCTTTTTGCAGAGAGAGAGAGTTAAGAAAGACCTTAGAGATGTTTGAGTGATGTAGCCATGATGGTCCTGAAGAGATTCAAGAGGCAAGGATTTTTGTGCGCAGTAACTTTTATTGGACCAATTGAATGGCTGGGATATATTTAAATCGGCTTTTGAATGCAGTGCTTTCTTCATGTCTAAGCAAACAGTAGGCACAGCTAAGGTTAAATATTAGGGGTGTGTGAAGCGGGCCCTATTTGATTCGGATTTGGATTCAGCCCGAATCGAGGACCGTGATTTGGTTAGTTGATTCGGATCACTGTCCCTGATTCGATTCGACTGAATCTGAAGATTTGATGCTGGTTCGGACATAGACGCAGCTTTAAATGTTTTTTTTACATACTTGGAGGTACCAGCACAGCTTGTGAAAGCTGCGATGCTGGGGCGCGTGGAACATCCCACAGGAGAGCGGGGGTCCCTCCACATGCTCAGCAACGAACCTGGAAGTGGAGCGACAGTACTTCTGGGTCTGCCGGGGAGCATGCTAGGATGCCCCCCGTACCCTCTTGGCTCGGTGATCAGCTGCAGGGGGATCCTGGGTGCCCCCCCCCAGACCCAGGAGCCACCAGTCGCCAAGCCAGGGAGGCCCCCTGGCATGCTCTCCTATGGACCTGGAAGTGGACCGGAAGTGCTTCTGGTCCACTTCCAGGTCTGCTGCCAAGCATGCTGGGGAGCCCCCCATGGTCCTGGGGGACACTCCATGTGCCCCAGCATTGCAGCATTCACGAGCTGCCTGGTACCTAGAGGTATGTAGAAAAAAAGATGTAAAGCCGTGTTTATGTCCGAATCACTTAATCTTTCCAAAGTGATTCGAAGGGTTCCAATTCGATTCGGATTTGGAGATGTCTGCATCTATCTCTTGACTTTTATCTATAGACCAGATCTTGACTGCAGTTCTGCAGAGAGGTACGCCAGTATGTGACTAGCCCTGGCAGTATAGCCTCATTGGGCATTGATACGCATACATTTGTCTGCTGTGATGCGCCGGAGATCCAACAGATTAATCAAGTCTGCTCCACATGCGAGCTGATGTTCTTGGCACTGTCTCTCATATGTTTCCGTAAATGGCAAAATGCATGTCAGGGCTGAGAAAACGGTGGTGATGCGCTTTTGAACTAACACCTTCTGTGTGTCTTGGTTCAAAAGCATGCCACCACCATTTTCTCAGCACTGACACGCATATCATCGTTTATACAAATGCATGCGCCACAGCACCAGGCATTTTTAAAAGCTCCCAATGCTGTAGTGCAAACATGAGTACAAATGCCCATTGGTTTCTGTATGACTTCACTTACTATACAGTTAAGCACATTCAGGATTGGGCCTGTTCCAATATCTCCTGGTGGGATTTAAGCTCTATAGCCTGGGTCTGTTTTTCCAGTTAATCTCACTATTTTGTAAACATTGTTTGTCTGTTAAGCTTCAGTGGGGGAGACTTAAGAAAGATTAACTATCTCCCACCTCCAGACTCGGGAGAGAGATGACACAGGCAGTTGGCTTGCATACAGATTTTACATCCCTGTGCCTTAAGTTGCAATGAAAACATGTACGCACCCAGAAATGCAAAACTGATACAGCTGCATTGCATCCACAAACTCAACAGCGATATGCCTGGATCAGAGAATGGAAACCAAATGATGGAGTCTGGGTCTTACTAACTCAGACTACTCTGTGAGAGTTCATACAAGTAAAAACACCACTGTGGGTCACTTCGGGGCAAGACATCTTCATTAGTAGGTGTGTGGAAAATTTCACCTGGCTTTTCGTTTCAAAGCTGTTCAGTGCATTTCGAGCTCGAAACAGCAAAATCAAAACGAAACAAAAGCCTTTGAAACAGCTTTGAAACAAAACAGGGGAACTCAAACGTTTCAAGTTTCAACACCAGGCTTACTGACTTCAGCGCTGGTCCCAGCTGGCAGCGCCAGCCTCCTGTCATCCAGTAGGCAGATCGGGGGCTCCCTGCACCCTTGGGAGGGCTGTGGGGGCTGTGCTGGAGTCCTCCCCCGGGTGCGGGACCCCGATCTGCCTGCCAGATGACAGACCAGCACTGGGCACAGCCCGCACCCAGCGCCGAGAGGACAGCATCCGTCTCCTCAGCCAGCAGGCAGATCAGAGGCATGCACCTCTGGGAGGTGCTGGCGGGCCCCCGATCTGCCTGCCATCTGACAGGAGCCGGGTGCTGCTGCCTGGGGCCAGCGGGGCCGGGGCAGATGTGATCCTTAAGTACTGTTTGGTGCTCTGTCTACAGGCTACCTAAAATCTGTCTACAGCCTACCTGAAACTAGTTTGCACAATACAATAATGTAGTGTAAACCCCCTATATGAGCTGACTTCAGCGTGCAGGACTTGAATTGCATCTCAGTTGACTCTTATTTTACAGGTCAATTCCAGAAATGTGTGACCTTCTTCAGGCAATGTTTTTAAAAGATCTTGCTAACAAGAGAAAAGTGTTGTACAAGTAAAAATCACTACCATGGCAGTTATTGAATTGGAGAAAAATAAAAGTATCAAATGTTATTTGGTATTCAGTGGCTTGCTATAAATCTTACGTTGGTAAACTCAGAATGTTCAAAGGAACCTAAGGAAGTAAAATAATCTCATTGGAAATCAATGGGATTTAGGTGTCTTAATCCCTTATGGCCCTCTAAAATGTCAGTCCTTGTTCTTAAATGGTGTCATTAGCGGGCACATTGGATTAGTAACAAAGTGCTTTCATTTATTAAAGATTTGATATCTTATCCCTCCACCTCCCTCTTTTCTCTTTGCATACAGGTCTAGAATTTGCATATTCCGCTGCTCCCAAATCGATGCAAAGTGCCATTATGGGGCTCTTTTTTTTCTTCTCCGGGATTGGGTCATTTGTTGGCTCAGGACTGCTGGCATTGGTGTCTATTAAAGCAATTGGCTGGATGAGTAATCATACAGATTTTGGTAAGTTATTTTCAGCATATTGGAGGATGTTGAAATAGAACAGAGCACTTCATTAGAAAGAATTACACTTCAAGGATTGGAAATGTCTTAGCTTGGAAAGTGCTTGAATTTGTAGCTCTGAATGTTAACGTGGCAAAGAAAATTTCAAATTGGATACTGATCTGATTGGAGATATGTTGTTGTAATGGCTGCATTAGAACTTATAAATAGGGACCTACCAAATTTGCGATGTGGATTCTGTGCAATCTGGACAATGCCTGTGCAATCCGTGAAGTGTGCAGCGGGGATGGGACTTGCCAAAAATAAAAAGCTGGCTCCCCAGAGCGGGGGAGATGGCCCAAGATTGCTGCCGACCCCCCTCCCTCCCCCATTTCACCCCTTGCCTCTGGCCGAGAGGGCTGCCTGTCACGTGACCCTGCCCCTCTCCACGAATCAGCAGCAACAGGAAGGGCCAGATGACAGGCAGCCCCTGCAGTCAATCAGCAGCAGGGGGTCGGGTCACCAGAGCCCCTTGCCAATCCTGGGTGGGGGGACGACAGGGCTCTGCTCTCCACTTGCAAAATGGCTTCCCAGGCCTGTGTTCTGCCCACAAGATCGGGGGGCAGCCCCCGTGAATTAGATAGGTCTCTACATGTAGATGTTAATGATCCTAAGAGTTGATTCACGTATGTTTAGCTCTGTTACTGCTTCCCTCACTTGTACATCTGGGGGTGGGTATTGTTCTTGGGGGTATCTCGGAGACATTTAATAGGTGCAGTTGAAAGAAATATTTTGCATTCCCAAGTTTTGTATATGTATCCCAGGAATAAATCAAAATACTCAGCTATCGACTGCAAAGCAATTATGTGGGATTTCAGTTTCCAAGGTACTTGAACAATGACCATAAGATTTATATTTGCATTTGCTCTCAGTTTTATGCTCTTTTACAGCCTAGCCTAAGTCCTGCTATCAGTTGAAATGAAACATAATTGTTGGCACCAGTAGGTGGCACCTTGGGAATTTCATAAAATCCTTTACAACTTCAGTGGCTTGACTAGTTCCAGAAAGAAATGTATGGGCGAAGCTTCCATGAACAACAGTGCTTGCTTAGTGCATTTACTATCTAAAAATGCTGCCTGCATTGTATGTTGGATTTACCCTTTAGGTAGATTGGATGCCATCTAAACTTAATACTGTTAATGCCATAACTTGACATCTTTTATTTTTTTCCCCTTCAAAACCTGTTGGCAAAAAGGATAACCTTTAGTTGTTTAGATGCCTTCGCTAAAACAAATTTAGAATACTGAAAAACGGGAGTTTCTTCAGCTGCACAATAGGGACACATTTAGTTTTGATAATACCACATGGGTTGATGTAGCTGATTGGGTTGATATGCCCGAAAATAGTGGGGAAGAGTAACTTGGCACAAAATAACATTTGTTATTCTTGACATCTTAAATTAAAAGCCTTGTGGCTTTTTTTGTACCTTGTCCATCTTGATTCAACCTAGGTTTTCCGTTAAGCTGTGATAAACCAGTCTGAGAAAAATCAGTGATGCATTTCCCCTGCGTAATAATCCACAGAGGCCTGCTAGATTATTTTAGGACTGTAAATGTGTTGCCCTCAGGTAGTTCTTTGGTCACCCATGCAGAATAAGATGCTGAGTTCGTTTTGTATTCTGTTGGACAGATGTCCGTGTGACCAGATAACCCGACCATTCTTGGCCCTAAATAGCACCTGCGTAGCTTGATCTTCCCTTGCTCTGTGGCATTGCCTCTGAGTCAGGATTGAGGCATACAGCAGGTGGCTTTGGTTTGTGGTATCTTGCATTGCTGCCCTTTCAAGTTTCTAATGTATAAATAGGATTTTTTCTATTGCTATTTTGTGCTTTTTGCACTGTTTGAATACTCTTCCCAACATGAAATTCACTAAATTTGCCAACACTTTATTTTAGAAAATAATCCGTCTTCTAGGGACCATCAGATGTGAGAATGAAGCTTTATGAATGAATAAGCTTTTCATTAAATACTGGAGCATAAATTTAAGGAAATGCAGCAATATAGTAGGGCATTAACTCTTGTTGCCTTTTGCTTTCTCCCTCTGCTTCTAGTTGATAGCAATAGAGCTTACTGTCTGCTGGCACTTAAGTGTTGATTGGTACACTGAAATTATTTCAGTGGTAAAAATTGAGATTTCATGGAGTTAACATCCCATCTCATAAAGGAAAATTACTACTTTTTAAAACACTTCTCTTCAAATGGAGATTCAAATGCATATTGTATTTTAAATGTCGGGGGAAGACTGATGTTGCTTTTATTGCTTTTTATTATAAATTAATTTAATTGAATCTAAGGTTTCGGTAATTTAAAGTAATTTAATCTCAACACTGTATGCATGCACAGCTTGTAAGAACTGATGTACGCCTCACTATTTTTGCATTCCCCCTCTACCTGTTAGGATAACCATAATGGTCCAATTGGCTGTGGCTCATGTGGCATGTTGGCAGTGAGCCAGAGTGTATGTTCTTGGAAATGCAGCAATAGTAAGAGCTCATTTCTTAACAGAGGGATAATGTTTAACCAGTGATCTTTCTTAATTTAGAATTATTTAATGTGCCACAAATCACTAGTTTAAAACCAGTTTGGGGAGTGTCAGAGGTGAATTGAATCAAAAAGTTCCACATAGTTGGATGAATTCCTAACTTTGTTCTGAGACCAGGTTGAGGGATTTTGAGTGTTGGCTTTACATGAATAATACTGTTTAACTTTGTTTTCATGATAGCATTTGTTTTTTTGTACATCTTTATTTTCCCCTTTGGCTTAGAAAGGAAGGGAGATCTAGACCTCCAGACATGCAGGCACCACCTAATATTAGCCAAGGCTGAAACGATTGTCAAAAAAGAATTTGTTGCATATAAACAGAATTTGAAAAGTCTTATTTTAGCCCCCTAAATGAAGCTGCAAAACGCAGGATTTTAAATCAAAGCCTTATGGGGTCCTTTAAAAAACATGTAATGCTAAAGGTGAATGATCTGTAGTTTTCACTTTCATGACGCATGCCTTGGAAAGGATGGCTGAAGCCTGCGGTGGATGTGTTTTTGAAGGGGAGGAAATGGAACTAATTCTTTCTTACAGGTTCACCAGTTCAAATCTTGTATATATTATTAAGGACCGGAGGTGGGCACATCCAGCAGAACTTCTGGCAATGCCTGTACAAGCTTTTACACCCATTTGCTCTGTTTGTTTTCCGTAAATACTCTACTGAATGTTTTTTGGCTTCTGGTTTGTTTTATTTTGTCAGTGTTAGTTGAATATTGGAGAATGTGCAAAGTAAGTGAACCCTGAAATTTGAATATTAATTCACTTGTTTGATTTGATTCTCAGTTACTCATCTGATTAAGTTCCCAAAAGAGATTGTATGGCTGGTGACAAGTATTACTTAGATTTGAATAATCTGCAGTCCAAGCATTATTTATAGCAGCTTATTTGGAAAATGTATTGGAGCAAAAAAAACTTTTTAGACTATCCAAAGCACAAGTGAGACCACTTATAAATCTCTCATTCTTTACACCTAGTATGCAAATTGACAGCAAGTTGCATTAAAAATGGTTCGACAAGATAAAAGTAATTTACAGAAATGTTAGTTTGAATAAGGAATTTCAGGTGTAGAAAAGAAGTTGGGGCAAAGGGTCCAAAATTTCCTCACTGACGTCTTTAGAGGTACAGTTCCTTTGGCCATAAAGTTGTGAATATGTTGGATAGTGGAGGCCAGCTAATATTTGGTCCTTGTTTTTGAATATCACCTTGCACAGGCTGTTTAACTTTGTTCCACTGATGTGCCTTAAATCTAAGGACATCCCAATATAGAGCTTATTCTAAAACTCCAAACTTAGCAGAAGAGTGAAATTTGAGTTGCCAGTTTCTGATGCCTCATGTACGCCCACAGCGAAGAATGTTTTTATTAGTATTTTTGGGGGGAGTTTTGACAAAAGTTGAACCTTTAGACTTAAAATTTAAAAATATATTATTTAAAATTTTCTGACAGTAATGCAAAGAGCACAGATGTGGTTTGCATGGTTTCCATTGGGGATAATTTTCCTTTTTAAGCAAGGCAGCTCTTAATGAGTAAGTGACTGTGGTCTCCACTGCATTAAAATAATTAACTTTTTTTATATTAACTCAACTCTTAGAGCAAAATTGTTTCATTTGAAGGAAGAGTCTGAAAAGGCTTGCATATGTAGATTATTTAAATGCTTCTCCCTAGCATTTACTTTTCTCCTCCTCTGGAAGAGTTTTATTACATTAGCTCCCTCTTGTCTATTATGCATGTACATATTGGGCCACAAAAGCCTATTTCTTGTAGTGCTAACAGGGCCTGCTTCAGGGAAACCATAGGGAAAGGGGGTCTGTATTTCCTCAAAGACTTTATTGACTTCAAGAGGTAAAAGCACAAAGTCAAAATATATAGCATACATTCCCCATGCCTGTCGGGCCTGTGTATTTTCCTTATAAATGTCACTTTTATTGCAGATAATATGCAGATATTGGGGCAGGGGGATCGAGATTTATCTGATGCACATATGACTTGTCTGGTTTTTCCTGTGCCTTTGCAGAGACAGTTTTTAAAGGACTGACATTTTTATGTGTATACTTCCCGTGTGTACCTGTTTCTCTCTCAATTCTTTCTAGGTAACATTAATGGCTGCTACTTGAACTATTACTTTTTCCTGCTGGCGGCTATCCAAGGAGCAACCCTCCTGCTTTTCCTTATTGTTTCTGTGAAATATGACCATCAAAGAATGAGGACTAATGGAGTGACTGCCAATGGGAGGACCTGACACTATCTGAAATAGAAGAGCAGTTTTAGACCAACACACAATAGACTGGCAGTGCAGTGAGTCCGCAAGATCTTACTGTTCGCCAGTGGGACTTTTTCCTTTAAATTTGCATGTTACATGAGTTCTCATTCCCGCCCCTTTCCCATGTAATGTAGGTAAGTGCCTTATGTTGGCGGGGCTCACTTCTTGCACTACGCCCTGCTATAGGGCAAATACAAATCTTGGAAGTGCATTAACTTTAGGCATTCAAGGCTCTGTTTAAAATCTTCAGATGTTTACTTAATTCTTACAAGTTGGGACACTTACACTTTGGAAACTGAATGTGACTAGTCCGAGATTAATAATGGAGTCGTCATTTAAAGGTCATGTGTCTTAATTGAAGAACTTTACTCAATGAAGGAAGGTGGATCTGGTAGGAAAATGTCTTCCACAGGTTCTAGCTTGTGTTGAAGGCACCTGCTTCCACAAAATTCTCTCTTTCTTTCAGATCTGGTTATCCTTTGAAGAGGCTGGCTGAATTAGTAAGAAAGCAGCTTTTCTGGTTTTTGTAGAAAGGCTAAAATTTGTAGGTGAAATTCAGAATAAATGGAGACAAACTAAGCTTGGTAGAACTCATGTGGATGAAAAGGGACAGAACATGCCCATAATTGGCCTTTCATTGCAAATGATAAAGGTTTAAGTTCAAACGTTAATTTTCAGTATTGGATGGTCTTGACAAAATTGGATTGGTGTAGGATATAGTAGCTTGTCAAATAGCTGCTATGATTTTTGGCTCATGTTCAGCAGTTGTTGGGACTGAATTGGCTTTTGCTCCAGAAATTGTTTTATTTATTTATTTTTTTTAGATCAGTGACAAATCTATTGGAGCATTTTAAAAATGTGTTCTTTGAATTGGCGACTTCTCCGTCAGTTCTTCGTCAGTTCTCCTTTGTGGGGACTTTATATATTTGAGTAAAGAAGGAAAGAATTAAGACCTGAATTTCATTAGGCCTCTTAGTAGATGAATGTGCAATACTAATTGGATGTCTCTTTTTGCCCAGTCTTGGTGTCTAACACATTTTCTAGCTAATGCACTGTAGGGCTAATATCTTCCAGCAACACATTCCTGCAGCAGTGTAAAAGTTGCTTTTACTTTTCAGCCTGATCAACTCTCGATTGCTCTGCCCTGCTGTATTTAAGACTACATGTGCAGAAAGTATGGAAAGCAATACTTAGCAAAAATTTACACAGAAAAAATGAAAAACCAACATTTCATTCATGTGTTGAACCCCTGGTTTCCTTGGGCATCTGCATTTAAACTATTACAGTGGTCATTTTTGTACTTAGACTGTTTCTTTAATGAGTTTACAAAACAAAATGAATTGATGCTGTGACTTGACCCTTTGTTCCTAAGTGAATAAAATTACACTGCAGATACCCTGCTTCTTTAGTCTTTATTTTCCCAAATGCATCTTGAAAATCTATTAAGTTGGCCAATTAATAGAATGTATCTTGGAATCTGGTAAGTACTGGAGTAACTTCTTATTTGTTGTCTTAGTAAAAGACTAATTTAAGGTGGTGCCACATGTATTGCATGTCAAATTCTAGCTATGGAGTGTGGTTTAAGATTTGAATAAATCCTGAATATAAGACCTGCACTGCATGCAAGCAAAACAGTAAATATTCCTTCTCGGCTAATGTAACTTCTGTTCCGTTTCATACCTTGTGTGTGGAGCATCCTATTTAAAGCCAGCATGGGAGAGATTACTGTGCTTAGCAAAGATGGTGTAAGCTGGAGGAGAATCATGCAGCCGTTCAAGGAACTACTTTTGTAGACCTCTCCCATTCAAAAGGACGATTCTAGCAAGGAGCAGAGAGGAGATGCATCTGTGGTACTGGATTCCATGATATACTGTTTTGCACTTCAGACTATGTACAGCCACAGAAAAAATGGCGTTACTGTTACATCAATACAGGCTTCCACTTTTGAGATGGTTTTCTTTCAAGAGTGCTTTTACGTTTGCCAGGGGGTATGAAGAAGAACCTGACACAGAAGCTTTGCTTCTGTGCTTTTAATAGTTGTTTTCCTCTGAACCCTTGACTGTCAACTTTGCAAGTGATGTGGCCAAGGGCACCTGCCCCTTTGGCAGAACACTCCAGAAGAGGACTTCTTTCCTTCTCGTCCTCTTCTCAGTTATCAGGCTTGAAATGCTTTGTATGACATTTCTAAGCATTATGAAAGTGACCTAATTAAAACCAAGCTCTCTTAAGAAGAGAGTAACTTTCCAAATAAAAGAAACTATAGATGTAACATTGGCTTTAACACTTTGGCAGAGAAGGTCTGGATAGGTCCAGTTACAGAGACTAGAAAGAAGCCTGATTCTCTTTCCTAGAGGAACCCATAGGGTTTGCACTTGCAGAATGTTACATTCACTTTTCATGAATGTAAATAAGTGTAACCATATTTTTTGGCTGTTTCTTTCCTGCGCAGTTGTAGTGGGGATGCTCTCTGTATTGTAACATGTAAACAGTAAATGCCTGCTTGTAATTGCAAGGCTATGGTTGTTCTAACGCTCCGGAGAGGAGATGGAACATGCAATCAGTTGTATAATTTAATTTTTATTTGGAATGACTTGGCTGAGCCCCAGGCACAAGTAATTATGACCATTTATGAAGATTAATCTGGCACGTCTCATCAAAGGGATACGGTCTCTTTGTGACTCAAAGGCTTAGCTGATTCTTTCTCCAAGTCTTATCTTTTAATATTTCCATTCCATTCACAGAAGTATGATTAATCAATTAACTTCATGACTGAGCACTATACCTAATTAGTGAAATACCTTGAAGTGTACAATTTTAAAATTTGGTTATGTTCACTTTTCAGATTGTTCAGTGTACCAGAAAGATCTCACAGGAGTTGCCCTAATGGACATTCCTAAGCTTTTGACTGGTCTGGTACCTTTTGCATTTAAAACAAGTTTATGCTTAGATGTACACTATATCACATAGCATTTAAAGCTTACTTATTTTTCTCTAAATAAAGAAATAAATAGCAGCAGCTTGTAAATCTTAATTTGTGTATGAGGATACGATCCAAACACATGAAGAATAGCTTTCTTGTGCTTGGGAGACTGGATGCTTGCATTATCGTTGTGGATATATTGCATTTCTCCAGCATATATTTTTGGCAGCTCTTATGCAAAATACCTGTTCTCTACTCTTTGCAGGTATGTATGTAAACAGCTGCCTTGTCTAAAGAAGGATTTTTAGTTGAGGGAAACTTATTATAAAGCCCCCATCAATCTCTCTGCTTTATACCAGTCTCCAACATGAATTATTTAATTATATCAGTGCTGGTTATTGCAGCTATAGTTTCTGGGTCTCTCAGTATTTCCATTATAAATCCCTATTTGGCTCTGTCGTAAAGAGTTGCTTGGGGCTGGATCTTGCCAAACAAGTTTCAGTTTCACAATGAATCTTTGCTTATTGGTGCATCAAATTATTTATTCTTGGTGTTTTAAAATTACCCTTTGAAAAGATTAAAGCAAGTAACCTTAATGAGTGGTCTTACATGCAAGACAGACTTTGATAATGGAGACAAGCTTTTTAGGAAGGAGAGGTTATAATGAGTTGCATGTGAACAGTCAAAATAGCAATACAGCATCATTATAGTACCTGACATTTTTTTGTTGCTTTTCGCTGTTGGTGAGTTAACTGCATATACCTCTGTCTATGGCATCCTCTAAGGCCAGTGGAAGACATGATGCTGTAGAGAATGAACCAAAAATTGGAAGAACACGTGTTAAGGGTAAATGCTGTTTATGAAGACTCATTCAAGGTACTAGCAAATCTAAAATATGCAGTGAATAATGGTTGAAAAACTTGAGCAGGTACTAGTTAACATTATCTGGCTGTTAATGCACAGATTATGGTGAAACAAAGTTCTCCCTGTGCTCTATTTACGGTGCTGCTACTGTACACGGCGTATGCTGCATGTTTTGTAAATCAGTGTGAAGCAGTAGTCCTCACAGTAAAACTGGATAGTACAATGACCTCCTTGCATCAGCTTTACAGCAGCCCTATAACCCAAGAGAAAGTGGTCCTTGCCTGCCTTCTTGTGAAATTAAAACTCGAAATGACAGTAGCTTTCACCAAACAGTCATTGGAATTGCAGTTCTTCACTAGTCCATGCTGAGATCTGTGCTGGCATACTATCATTACCCAGCTAGCTAATTTGAAATAAGCTTCCTTATGTCTACACTGGCTGCAGTATAGATGCACACCTCTGAGTAGATATATTGTGTAACAGTAAAACTAGGGGTGCACTGATAGAAATGTTTTGGGCTAATACCCATGGCCGATTTTTTTTTTTTTTTTTAAGGGAGCCATATTGATCCGATATGCAGCTGGGCAGCTTGGAGAGCGGGTCAGGCTAGTGAGTCTGTTGTAGAGAAAGTGGGGAGGGAAAGGGCAGGAGGCAGCTCGAGGCGCCTCGCGGTGAGGGAGTGGGGCACGGGCGAATGCTGCACAGCCGGGGCAGGGTGCAGGACACAGTTGCGAACGGCACATTCGAGGGGGGTGGGGGGGGTTATGTGCACCCCAGGAGGGCATGGGGCACGTGCCCCTGATCTGTGTGCAGGGCGAGGGCAGGCTGCTACTGCAGGCTGGGGCTGGGGTGCGGCTAGGCTCTTCCTGGCAGGGCAGATGGGCCGGGCTGTGCACGGGATGGGTGGCACTGGGGAAGGCAGCTACGGGGGGCTGCAGCCACCCCAAAATTTGCTGTAGCCCCCCTCCCAGCACCGTCACCACCTGCCCCAAGTGTAGCCACCTGCCCTTAGCCCCCACCAGGAAGAGCCTGGCGCTGTCAGCCCACAGCTGCAGCCCGTCCTTGCCCTGTGTGCAGATCCAGGGGCACCCCCCCCCACTGTGCCCTCCCCAGGTGTGTGCAACAGTGGGAGCCCCCCCACACCTCCCAGATGAGCCACTCATGGCTCCATCCCACCACAGCTGGGTAGCGCCTGCCCCAGCCCCACACCCTCACCGCAGGTCACTGCGGGGGCCTCAATCTGCTCCCCTACAACAGACTTACCAGCTGAACCCAGCTGCTCTCCACACTGCCAGGCTGCGCTCCTGGCCGTCTGTGTGCTGCGCTGCGGCTGCGTGCATGCGTGGGACGGTTATCAGACACTCCTAGCCGCATCAGCCAAAAAAAGCTGATTGCCGATACTGTCAATTTTCCTTATCAGTGCTGATCTGATATGGGACCAAAGTATCTGTACACTTCTAGGTAAAACTTAGGTTTTTTGAATACAAGGATATTTATGAATTAAGTTCTGGTTCCTCTTACTATGAATTTACACATTAAGGGTACTTTGTGCTCAAAAGCCTGTCCAAATCTCATCCAACCTTGCAGTTGCTCCAATAAAAGCCATCACCTACAAAAATCCTTGCCTCGATCACATTTCCTGGACCATCACAGCAGCACCACCAGAAAACATTACCATATCAGTAATGAGGTTTATTAATACAAAAGAGACCATAAATCAACTTGGACAGTCAACAAAAAAATGAAGAGTGAACAAGGAAAAACAGGGCAAATCTTGTGTAGCTTGTCTTGCACTAGCATGACTTGAAAGCTATAGAGTGCACTTGAGTGAGTACCCCTATGCATTTTTTAAGGACTTGGCATCATCTTCAGATTGCATCTACTCACCTGTTTGAGATCTACTTTGTTCTTTGGGGAAGTAGAACTGTTTTGCCCCTTACAGCTGTGAAAATTGGCCATAGCAGCATGTGGGAACAAGGGAAAAAAATCAGACCGTGCCTTTTTAAAGATCATAAACACATGCATCTATTAGAATTTCTCTAACCCAAGTTTGCAATATTTTTGTCCAGTGTTATCCAACCTATAGGCAGAAGGATAGCAGCGGAAAGTAGCATTTGATCCAAGAAATTGGAATGGAAACAAAATGTCTCGTACATAGCTCCTTTCACAATTTAAAAATCCTATCTTGTCATCTGAAAAGTTTCCAAGGCACTTCATAAGCTCTGTTTGCGCATCCCTGATACATAATCACATCTAGGGCAGAGGGTTGAAAGTCTGTTGAATGTGAAATGGAAAAAAATATATATATAAATCAGCAAGGATGATGGGGATATATGCAACTTGAAATGAATTTGAATAAATAGTCGTGTACACTTCTGTCTGGTCAGCATCATACCAGCTGTGACATACAGCAAGTCTTACCAGTACCTTTCTGGCTTCCTAGCTTTACCAATTCTTGGGTTTGTTTGTTTTTTTTTTTTTAAATAATAAACTTGCATGAAACCAGACAGAAGCTCAGCCTTGTCTTCTGTTCTTTCCAGGCTGCTAAGGTATTGCATGTCTTGTTAGCATGGTTTTGATGGGAAAATGTAGATGCATAAGGTCAAAAAGTAAGAAAATATAGTGACTTGAATGCTGATTCCTAGTAATTTAATGACACAATTGTGTTATGAAACTTAGACTATCTAACCTTTTTAGTTCTTGGCTGGGTAAGTGTAAATACCAATGCTGATTTCAGCAGATTCCAGCATTGCTCTTAAAGTCGTCTTCTGCTTCTTATTTAGAGGTTATTGATTATAATTTGCTTTCTAAATAACTGTTAGCTTCTCAGAGAGCAAAAAAATATATTCTGACAGGCCTGTCTGCAAATCATTTTTTGTCTAGACTTTTGATGTAGAATTTTCTGCTGCATGTTAGCCCCAGTTTGAATACTGCTTAAATTAACTTACTGTGGGAGTAAGCTGGAAATCCAGTGAGTCTGCTGGAGTTTGCTAGAGTAGCAGGTACATGACTGGACAAAGGTACATGACTCCAGCTGGAGTCTGCTGGAGCACGTACATTGATGTGCTCTGGCATCCTCGCACGTCATGGGTATCAGCGGCGCCAGCGCACCTCCACACTGAGAAAATGGCAGTGGGTGGTGCGCTTTAAAACACATTGGATGCACTTTCGTTCAAAGTGCACCGCTGCCATGTTCTCAGCACGGAGGCATGCTGCGCTGCTGATGAATGTGAAGCATGGGCATTTTAATCAGTGGTGCCTCACTAATTAGAAGCTCCTGGCACCGCGTCAGGAGCACGTGTAAAAATGCCCACAGGTATTCCTCATCCCTTTGTGACTGTTGCAGCCCTCTGGCTAGCTGTAATATGGGGCTTTGTCACCGAGGCAGGATGGCGTTAACATGTGCGCGCTAAGCCCAGAGTGGCGAGCGAGCTTAAGGCTGGAGGCCATGGAGGAAAGAGGACAGAAACTCCCTTTTCATTTGGCAGTGTAAGAATTCATCCGTTGTGAGTGTTCGGATAGGTCTGCCTGCATCCGGTCCCGGATGATAAGGGAAACGCAGGTTGCTTTAGCCGACTGTGCCTTTGTGTCTCTATAACCAAGCACTTCATGGTCCAATTCACCCTCCACTTAAGAGACATCTGTTCTGAGGAATAGGAAGGCCAAGAGGATTTTGTGTGGAGGAGGAAGGACGCTAGTTGATTACGAATCTAAAACAGCTCTAAAAACACCTGGTTTGAACATATAAACTAAACTGGATGCATCAGATAGCCCAAATTGTTTGTGTATTGTATGGCGTTCAGCACCCACGGGCCTCCTAGCTGTCGCTAAACTGCAACTTAAAAGTTGCAAAATTTTCATTTTGGTTCTTCCCAAGGAAGGAAATCTCCACCCAGGTGCTAAAGAATTAATTTGAAGCAGATGATTACCCCCAACCAGTGGGTATTTTGCCTCTGAGGTAGGATGAGTTAGGAACATAAAGCAGGTGTTTCTCCGCTGGTAAATACAGCGTTTTGCAGTACGAGAAGTAAATTACTGAAAGTGGTTGAAAGAAAATTGAATAGCATCAACAAAAGTAACGGTGAATTCTCTTCAATCTCTCTTCCTCCTGCTGCTGCACAGCCATGCGCGATGGCACATGTACTGGTGCGATGAGAAGTAGTGAACATACCTCAATACATCGGTTAGCACTCGTTTTTATTTCTTATTGGTTTATTAGTGCGGAAATGCCATCCAAAGAGCTTCCATAGTTCCCTTACAAGAGGTAAGAGTAAGTTGCTATGTTTGGATCTGGGGATGCTCTACCCGTATATTTTGTACAGAGATCTTTTGGATGGGGGAGCATATTTTATCACATGGACGCTACCCTGGCTACAGTGCTGTTTTGACAACATAATTTTGCTTTATATTGGCATAGCTAACTTCCTTTATAAGCTGCATCAGAATAAGCACATTTTTTACACAGGCATCCTGCATGCCCAGTTTTAACTTTACTGACACAATTGAAGCCATGCAACGTCCATGTGAAAACCAAGCTTTGGAGGCAGACCCTATGAAAGAGGAGCGAACTCTCCTTTCAGGTGCATGCTTGGACCTCTCAAGTCATTATTGCCTTGATTTCTTAGAAGAATGCATACCTACTTTATCTCCCTTGGGCGTTATGAGGCATGAGCCAGTAGCTTGTGCAAAGGTGCACGACAAAAGCAAGTTTAAAGAAAGCCGAAGGTATACTTGTATATTCTTGCAGTCATGTCATGCTTACAATCCAGATGGAGAGATCATGCCAAAATAGCTCTTATGCAAGTATGCTTATTTCAAATACGTTAGCCAATGCTTATGAAGTGCATCTCTGTCATCCGGACAGTGTAGCATAGGATCTGATACAGGACTAAAGGTGGAGATCTCCACCCAAGGGCTTCACCCTGTGGGGAAATGGGCAGTAACACCTAGCTTTTCCACAGTACCATGTGCATGAGCTCCCTTTATGACTTTGTCTGCCCTGAAGGCTGTTCTTAATATTTCACGTGGAATGAGCTAAACCGCAGGCATTAATACTGCAGATTAAGTATCTGGGTGTGGAGTTTGTGTGGAAGTGTGAATGCCCCTAAAAATTCATGCCTTCCTTTTATTTCAAAATAACTCTCCTCTGTAGACAAGACAACCAAGTGTCTCAAGTTGCAAGGCTGTGTCTTAAGGCTAAAAATAAATGTTGTCAAATGAAGTCAATTAGCCGTGCCGGGACTCGAATGACGTGTGTCACTTGTCCTGCCCATTGATCTTGTGACAGCAATCCCTGGGGTGCATGTTTGGCAGCAAGAAAATTCAGGGTTCCCTGCTTCCAGCAAGGTTCCCCCAGCAGTCTCGGAGGGTGCATCTCTGGCAGCGGTGGGAGTAAGAAATCCCCGTTTCCAGAGCTGTGCCCTGAAAATCCCAGGGGCATGTTTCTGGAAACAGGGAAAGCCAAATGGGCACTCCCAGTGCTTGAAGGACCTGAGCCTGCTTGGGGGCTCCTGGGCCATGAGGGACCAAGCCCAGAGAGCGCCTGCTCGGAGCAGCTTGAAAACATAGGCAGCTGCCTGTGCTCTCCTGCCATAAAGCAAATAGACATCTGCCACAATAAAGCGGGTACTTTCATGGTCAATAAATCATTGCTGCCTTTGGTCACAACCACAAATCTGGGCATTTGTGGCATGATGAAGGGTATGAACATCTATTTGCTTTTGCTGTGTGCCGCCATAAAAACTTAACGGCAACACAAAGGCAACGAAGGGTGACATCTGTTTCCACCCTCTGTTCTCAGAGACTCCCAGAACTTAATTTTGTTTGGTTTTTTTTAATTTTAATTTTTTGGCCTAAATTTGGAAAATCCATCCTGAATCTTTAAAAGCTATTCACAATGCACCTAGCCCCCTCCACTCCAGCAGGGTGCTGGGACTGGCTCCCCAATGGGCCATAGAGATGCTGTGGACAAGCCATGAGGGACGACGGATAGAGGTCAACTGTCCTATTCTCTCTGTGTTGTGGTCAGCAGAGCTAATTAATCCAGCCACATCCCCATGCAATGATGTTTGCATTTTCTGAGGCTGGAGCACCTGAGATCTGTGGTGTGTCCTGGATTTGGGGTCTCAAAAGATAGTCACTTTACTCATAAAAGAATTAGAGTGCAAGGAAGTATTTAGCCACCCGTTCAACACTTCTAACTCCTAACAGTTGAGAGAGTTTTTATGAATGTTCATGTTCATTTTACCCACAGCTGCCTAACGTAGTCAACACTTCAGTTCTGTAGCAGTCTAGCGTCTTTATGGGAACTAATATTGCCTGCTTAGGGTATGGCAGGGGTGAACCTATCACTTGGTGCTCTTAAGTGTCTCTAAAAGTTTCATCATTTTAAAATTATATTGTGCAAGTCCACAGTCCTGATCACTTCTAAATTCCAACTCATAAAATTTGATGATCTCCACTATTATTAAATTGTTCCACATGGTACCAAACTGTGCAAACCCGAGTACTTCTAGAACAAAATGTATGAAGTGCTGCAATAATTTAAAATTGCTGTGTGTGTTGCAAAGTGCTTCAATATTGCTGGAACACTTCAAATGTATGTTTTTTTATAAGGGTTTCAAACAGGAGTAGAAGCATATAAATCCTTGTAGTACACAAGTGAAAGGCCTTGAACCTTTCTGGGAATGCAAGTCATATCAAACTATTCAGCATTTGAATTGTAGGAAGATGCAAACCTGTACAGGTTCTGCAAACAGAGTTGTTTTAGGGTCATGCGTTTAAGGAAGAGGTGGAGAATGAAAGGCAGCATCATACCCCAGTGGAGAGGCCCTGGGGGGAGTCAGAAGACTAGCTCTGGTGGTACTTCTATCACTTAACTGCACTGTGAGACTGAGCAAGTTGTTTCTCTTGTGTGCGTTTTTTTTCACCTTTAATCCTTTGTATCATCTAGTTGGACTGTAACTTAAAATAAAGGCCTTATAGTGTGTGTGTGCAATCTCATGCATTGGGGCCCGTAGTTGCTACCACGATCAAACCCGTGTATGAATGAGCAATCTGTACAGGTTTGGTTCTGGGAGTCGCTGACAACTTATTCTGAACTCGCTGGGCTGCGTCCCTTCAAAATGAAATTTGAGGAGTGAAAGGGAAACCGTAATGTTCGGTCTGTACGTACACCTTCTGGAATAAGGTTGTGGGATCAGGTCCTGAATCTAGGAATAGCCATTGCAAAGATCCGCAGATTGGATTTCAAACGTTAAGTGTCAGAATTTATTGCAGCCACAAAATCCAAGCATGTGTTTAAGATTGAAGCCATGCGATGGGTTAGGCTGCATAGTTACTTATGCAAGTATGCCCCTGAGAAATGCAAGTCACTGGCTGTGCTGTCAACTGAACTCAACACAAGAAGGGATACAAATTGCTCTCTCTGCTGGTGTCTATGAAGGTGTCTTTTGTTTAGTTGTGGGAATGGTCCAAGGAACAGATCCTGCACTGCAGCACCTTGGGCTCAGTGAGGAGGAGGAAGAACAAAGCTGCGAAGCTGATGCTGATAGTGCGCATCCCAGTGCTCGCCATCCATGCAAGTACGTACTGTAGTCTTATCTGGTTCCCAGTGCAAAGGACCTTTCCTTTCCACTCCCCACTCAAATGAGATAAGTAGCTAGATATCTATCAACAGGCTTTCAACAGCTGCCCGGCTGTATTGAGCACGAATACATGCTTGGCTTGGAGAGAGCTGTGCAGGAGGTATGATCTTTGCACAGTATTTTCCATGCTGAAATGAGCAGCTTGTTTTTCTTGAAACATTTCAGGTTCCTGGGCAGAACGGCTTGGGTGCGGGTTTCTTCTAAATCAGCAGGGTTTGACATGAGCTGCCTATAATTAAAATCGTATGACTGCATCACCTGAACAGTCCTAGAGAGTGTGCGGTAAGAAAACAAGCTGCGATAACATCCTCTTTCAATTTCCTCTATAACTTTTGGTACAGCACATGCATTTTCTTCTGCCTCCTGAACAAGAGACTGAGCATCTCTGAAGTTAATAAAATGACATGGGGTTGCTTATATTAAAAGAGCTAAACAGTTGCTGAGCCTATTCTAGTCTATTAAACACTGCTTTATTATTCGCATTTCCCTGACCCAATTCACGTCTTCAGCAGCTAAGGAAGCCTGTTCTCTCTGCTCTCTCATATACATGTGGCAAATTAAAATCAACAGAAGAAATACAAAGTGAAGAGGGACACTTTTGTCTCTCGCCGGGGCAGGGACGAATCGGAGATGGAGAAAATAGCCTCTCTCCCTTTGTCTCTGAAACATCATTTGATGAGACTGCTGCTTGGAAAACAGTGGCGTCAGGAATCACGCATGGGATACTGCGCTACACACACTGCAGTTTAAATGAATGGTAGTTACAGAGTATGGGGAAAGACCTAATCTCCTCCTCTCTAGAATGAGGCCTATAAGACCATCCTGCACCTGGTCCTATAGTGCTGGTTACTTGTGAAATTATATATATTTAAAAAAAAGCCTTTTTCCAAAGACCTTTGTCTATGCAGATGAAGAGCACATGGGTCCTACTAGGGAAGAGATGAAGTGACTTGCCCAAGGCCGTGCAGTCCGTCAGAGCTGGAGGGTTTTGCGAAGCAGCACCAGCCTGGGACTTAGGCGGCATAGACTGTCTGTCACCCTGCCGCTTGCTTACTAGCAGTAATGAGGTGAAATAAAGAATGGGAGATTGAAGAGCGAGTCACAGAAGCCTGCGAATGAGCTCAGCTCCCATGAGATCTCATTGATGTTCAAAAACAAACCTGCATTGGCTGGAAAATAAGCCAGAAGTGCTACCGAGTCCCTTTTGGCTCTAATTTGAATGATTCTGCCAAGTGCCCGGGTTAATACCAGCTCTGTGAATCACCAGGGGCAGGAGGTTTGCTGTTCAGATTGATACAGCAGGTGGAAGGGTACTATAATAAATGCATCAGGAAGAGAGTTTTAAAAAGCTGCTTTTTTACAGTGTGAATAACTTTCTGGGCCTCAGTGGTACTAAGTATGGTGCAATTCCTGACTGCGCTTGCGCTTTACTTGGGTGACAGTCTGAGTACACGTATAGCAAAAGTCTCATGTGCAGAAAATGCACACTGTTGCTAAATCCTATTCAAATGTTTCTTTTCCCCCACTCCCATCATTGAGGAAAATTGAAATCTGGAAGCAGAAGTGGAGAAAAATAAATCCATCTTAATCTTCCCCACTTTTTTTCCCCAGCAAACTATAGACCTTGCTGAAATAGTTCAAGCTTTGATGAAAGCCCCTATTTAAAAAGGGGAGGAGAAGGCGTATGAAAACGTCTCGCCATTATTTTTCAGCAATTGCAAGAGACGCAGCTCCCAGAAACAGGATTTTTAAAGAATTTTCTTACCGGGAACATTGTCTTTACACCTGCTTGACATATCCTGTATTGCCATTAAAGACCTTTACATTCATGTAAGGGAACATGAATAAGGCTTTGCCTGTGCTCATGTTGCTTTAAAGTGCATATGTATTAGGGCTGTGTGAAGCTTTGGCCCCCGATTCGATTCGGCAGAGATTCGGCCTGTTTCGGTGGCCGAATCTCCGAATTGGAATCGACTCGGAGGACCCTTTAATCTCTCCAGATCGAATACGGCCTGCTTCGCACACCCCTAATATTTATGGGTGGGGAAAAGTTACTGCAGCATTTGTCTGGTTCCAGATAGACACATTTGCCGGGGCAAATAGACACATTTGCCCACCCAGCTCCTGGAATTTAAAATAGATTGGTTTATAGCGAGGAGAGCAATTTTACTATCTACCCGAGAAGTGACATCCACAATTAAATGGTCATTGTTGGCATCAGAAGCAAATGAAGATAGACAGGAAGTTGAAATGGCATTGAAAAAAGACCCACTCCATCTATTCTTGTGCATCTGTCTTTCAATAAAAATCAGTTTAACTACCTGTATGAACAAAAATGAAGCACCATTTCTTCAGGCCAGCAGTCTTTTGACATGTTTATCAAGTCTGAAATGTGGTGTTTTTTTTTATAAGAACTTTTATTTTAAAAAGAGCACCGTTTCAGTTGCTCATTCTCCTGACCGAGCTAGGGAAATAAGGATCCAATCCACTAAACTGCTCAAACTGCTGCTTTCTGGGAGACCATTGCACCTCTGTGGTCAAGATACTGTTTATTCTCCTGTAAATGTTTGTGACAGGAATAAAGAAGGTGTCAGCTTCCCCAGATCGTTTTCAAAAGTTGTCCCTGAAAATGAAAGAACCCAAAATTTCAGGCTTTAGCTAAGGAAAGCTGGAAAATCAAGACGGATAAAATGAAAATGCCTTTGGCAAGAATTTTATTGAACTGAAAATGTTCTTCCTGCCAAAAAAAGAACATTTGGCTTTCAGTTATCCAGATCTCAACAGCCTTTTTTGTGTTCCCTTTTTCACATGTGGACACACGTTGATTAGACTTCCTCTTGTTGCCGTGATGCCTACAAAAAAAGAAACCTAACAATTATGCAGTGGTCCCAGGCCACCGGTGTCCTAGGAAGCTGTTTCATTGTCTTTATTTCTTTTTTACTTCCCTGTCTGACTCTCTCTCTTTCTTTAGTGTTATACTTAGATTGTAAACTCTTTGTCCAGATGAGCGCAGCTGTGCATTATGTGGTGTCCCAGACCCATCTGCGGCGCCACATACCCCCACATTCAGGTGCTCCCCATGCTGCGAGGCAGCAGTGCAGGGGGATTTTTGACTCCAGGGTCCAAAACACCCTCACAGGGGAAAAAAACGAGGTGGTGCATGCAGGAGCAGTATACACCACCCAAAACTGGATCCTGGTCAGCCAGAGCCATGCTCCAGCTACCGGCCAAGCTCCAGTTACCAGCCAAGCTCCAAGTGGCAGGATCACCCCGGCTGCAGCTCCCCGAGCCCCTGGGACCCCAGGTAAGGTTGCTGGGTCCAGCACAGTTGCTGGCCCCAGACCCCTACCCCACCCAAGGTAATCTGTCATGTGCCGGAGCGCACGTGGCACAGGCAATCCCCGGGACAAGTAGCAGTGGCACAAGATGTGCCTGCGCTGTTTGTCTCCGGGGAAGCAAACATCCACGCTCACGTGGGCACGGCCTTTGGGTCTTCCCTTTTGTTGTCTCTTTGGCTGGATTTTAGGCTCTGTAGCAATACAAATAATATCCTTCATTCTGTTTGGGGAGCATGTAACACTGGGGTAGTTGATTAAATTTCCACCCGCTGTTTGCAGTTTAAAGTGCTCATTCAGGGACTCCACGGAAAACTTATTGAAAGGTGGAGGTGGAGTGGTACTTCACTTAGTTCCTCAAGAGAAAGAGAGTGTGAGGGTAAATTTGGCATTTACCAACCTCATTATGTTGGACTTTTTTTGGCTTTTGAAAACAAGAACCACACCTGATTTGATGGATCCTGTTTCTCCTTCACCAGACTCTCCCAAGCTTGGGTGGAGGTGAAGAGGATTCTGCATTTGGCCGATCTGCGTGTACTCTCTTGGTATGATCACGTAGTGATGTCATTCCACATCTGTATCCACACTTCAAAATGAGAAGTTGGGTGAACTTCTGGGGATGTGCCAAATGCCTTTGGCTCCCATTGAAGATCAGGTATTGCAATGAATACAAGCTTTTTTCTTTGAGGAAATGGTTGATTGTGGAGTCAAAGAAATTGCTAACTCCCTGTTGGTGGCTACCAAATTAAAACAAAGTTGTTAGAGAGTTAGATTACAAGTAGTCTCGTGGCTTATCAAGACTTTATTGCAAGCTTCTGCAACACTCATTTCTTGTTATCCATCATGGGGACTTCATCATCATGACTTTTTGCTTTCAGCTACTAGTTGTCGTCTTATCACCATGGAAGCTATTGTAGCTATGAAAAAAAAAATCAGTGACTGTTCAAGTTTCATAGTAGCTAGGGTCAGGAGGGACCTGACCAGATCATCTAGCCTGCCCCCCTGCCACAGGCAGGAATGAATGCTGGGTTCACAAGACCCCAGACAGGTGATCGTCCAACCTCTTAAATTTGCCCAAGGTAGGGGCGAGGACCACGTCCCTGGGAAGTTGGTTCCAGATTTTGGCCACCCTGACTGTAAAATATTGCCTTCTGATCTCTAACCTAAACCTATTCTCCATCAGCTTATGACCATTGTTCCTCGTCACCCCAGGTGGTGCTGGGGAGAAAAGGGCTCTGCCTATTTGCTGTTGATTTCCCCTGATGAGCTTGTAGGCAGCCACTAGGTCCCCCCTCAGCCTCCTCTTGCTGAGGCTGAACAGGTTCAGGTCCCTCAGTCTCTCCTCGTAGGGCCTGTCCTGCTGCCCTCTCACCAAGCGGGTGGCCCTCCTCTGAACCCTCTCCAGGCTGGCCACATCCTTCTTAAAGTGCGGTGCCCAGAACTGGATGCAGTACTCCAGTTGAGGCCGGACCAAAGTCGCATAGAGGGGGAGTATCACCTCTCTGGACCGGCTTGAGATGCACCTTTGGCTGCATGACAAGGTTTGGCTGGCCTTGCTGGCTGCGGTCTGGCATTGGCGGCTCATGTTCATCTTGGAGTCAA